CATGCAGGCGGCATGCAGGCGGGGCATGCAGGTGGCATGGCGGCATGCAGGTGGGGCGCGTTGTGCGTCGCCGATCGGGGGCAGCGGCATGCAGGCGGCAGGCAGGCGGCATGCAGGTCAAGGCGTCCTGGACCTGCCAAAATTGCTATTCAAAATTCAACCAAATTTGGTTGAATTTTTGTGCGAATTTTGTAGGCGGATTTCATCCAAAAAGCGCCTTGGACCCGCCGAAATTGCCACCCAAAATTCAACCAAATTTGGTTGAATTTTTGTGCGAATTTTGAAGGCTGATTTGCGGCTTGAAACTGGAACAACATCAGCNNCAAGCAATGCGCAGGCCGAATCCATGAAGCGTCCTGGACCCGCCAAAATGAATGGAGACTACTGTTTAGGGTTTAGGGTTTTCGCGTGTATCATAGTATATACTATATCATACTGTCATGATATTAATATCATGCGATTATTATACAATAGGATAGCCAAACAAGAATGTTGACAATTCTTTGGGCTTCTACAGTACGTTCGTCTGACAAACCTGAGTGGGTTCAGGGTTAGGGTTTACCCTAAACCCTCTCTTATATTTCTTTACATCAACATACTGGCGGCATGCTCATGGAGCATTGTCTTTCCCGAAATCCGTACATACTATTGCAAGAGCATGTTGGAGAAAAGTGGATTGTACATGGAATGTATACGGATTGTAATACAGGGATTTTATAGGAGAGACTATGTAGGGATGCAAGGTCAAATAATGGAGAATCAAACGGAAAAATGTGGAATCTGAAATGGAGGCGGTCTCAGCCTGCTTTGTCGTGTGCTCCTCCACAGTTCCGTGCGGCGTGGATTTGCTGTTTGTGAGCCACCCAAAATTCAACAAAAAACCAAATCCCAGCTATCTGGGGTCTTCGCCGGTCTAAAAGTTTTTTAATGATTTTCACTATTGCTCATTTTCCGTCATTTTCACCACTTGTCATGATTTTTACAGTGTGACATTTTTCATGATTTTTGCATCACTTCTCATGATTTTTAATTTTAGTCATTGCCACATTTTTTCAGATTTTGTCATGTTCATCATGATTTCTGCACCATTTTACATGACTTTTAATCATTGCTCATCATTTGTGAGTGTAAATCGAGCTCTCGCCTAAGACTTTTTGAAAATAAAAGAGAGCCCAAAAACAAACACAAGAAACAACAAATAATTGTTGCGTTCTTATACAATCTGTCACGAATCTCCGCATAATCTCTACAATCTCCATAATTCCCAAAACTCCAGTAATCTATATAAGTGTATATTTACATATATGTATATGATTTGTGTAATTTCCACTTGAAAGCGCTCCTATTTTGGTTGTTGTTTTGTTTCCATAGTTCTTTACATCCATCCGGGGGAGGGTGGGGCCAGCAGCGCGCAACCCGTATACATGCTCGCTCTGCATGGAAAAGCGTCCTCCTTCATATCACTTCTGTGCGCTGGCTTCTAGGTCCCGAACCAAACAAACAATGAAGCCGAAGGAAAACCAAAAACAACAGCACCTTTTTTGTTAATGTTATTTTTTTTTCGGAAATCGCGTTGACCGGAATCCCAAAACCAGAAATCTGAGAATCCGAGATTTGGTGCGATTTTCAATACAGGAAACAAACCTCCAAGACGCAAACACGGTGAAAATGCTACTGTAACTACTTCTTGAGTTTCAATCGATCATACACTGAAACCAATCTTTCGGCACGTAATTATCAGGGTTGAAATTGATGAGCTCTCTGTGGTTTTGTCCTATGCCTGAAGAAAGATAACTTGTGTCCAAAAACAACATTTGCGACGTCTTCAGCCTGTCCTATGACAATACATACGTTGAAGCACAAGCACGTATAATTTCAGAACATAAAAGTGAGGATCTTGGACATACGCATATAGATATAGATATATATATGCATACTCATGCAGATTTGCAGGGGCAGTTGCGTTGCTGCGAGGCTGCCGACAAGGCAAAGCGTCTCCTCGAAGATCAGCGGTTCCAGGCATATATGATCTGGGCGATTTTTTACTTTCCATGACATGTTCGATACCAACACGCACTGCGCTGATAGCGCTGGGCGTATCGTTTTCCCACAGAGGATAGCCATGCAGCCACCCTGAGGCTCTCTTTGCGGACCCCGACTTTACCATTGAGGCAGCGGAGTGTTCATTCTACCGGGAACGTGGCATGTCGTGCTCTTCAACTTGCCCACGCAAGGACGTCGGCCAGACGAGCAAGGTGCAACAGACATTCTGCATGCTTGCTTTCAGATGTACGGAACACAGCATCCCCTTCTCTGGACGTAGCAAGAGAGGCGGATGCAGCGCCGTTGCTGCCGAAAAAGAAACGAAAGTCACAGGCAACGCGCCGCAATGCTCTGCTAGACGTTCTGCGGGTGGCTGAAAGCAGCAGCATTGGGGGGGCACACCCTTAGCATTTGAAGAGACGACTGTCCAGTGCGGTCCAATTTCTGTTGCTGCTGCAGCCAGCGTTGCATTAGTACGCTTGTTTCGCTTGTGGGTGCTTGCTTTTGTTACGAGTTCTGCTTTTGCAGGGGGAGATTGTGCAGGTGGTGCTGGAATGCTTGTGCTCCTGCTCGGCTCTGCTGCTAGCAGTAACGAAGTAGGGCTTCGATTCTGTGAGCTTTGTGAGGGGCAAGAGAACATGCAGGTGTGACTCCACTGCCCTGAAGTTCGTCGAGCTGATATTCCAACCAACACGCTGCCAGCGTGTAGCATCACAATGGAGCTTCTCAGCTCTGGTCAGCTGCAGTCAAGGTATGTCAAGGTGTCGGTCGGAGCGTGCTGGAAGCAGTCTGGCATGAAAAGATTCCTGGGATCTGCTAGGAGCCAACAGGCACGTGTACATAGACACTCCATGCGACTCCGGCTACTTACTGGCATCTACTGACCCTGCAGCAGCACAGCAGGGAGAAAAACTGTTCGTTGCCAGAACATGCTAGAACCACATGTTTGTGGCTCCCCAGTGTGGTTTGAGGATTCTGCGAATTGTCGCGACTGACATGTGCGGCTCACTGCAAGAAGAACAACAGAATCAACAGAGCAGGACAAATCAAGCAAGTCCTCGAACATGCTTGTTGCAAGAGCTTGCTGGGCAGCGTTCTAAAGGCCGTACGGGGTCTTTGCAACATCAATTCATTTTGGCAGCTCTCACTTCTGTCAATTGTGGCCATGGCCCTATGTCCTATATGTCAAGCAACAAGCCATCGTTGCCATGGGTAAGAAAGCGCACAGAGGCCCAAACACCAAGCGCGCGCTTGTTCAGCCAAGACCTGCAACATTGAGCCAGCGCATTCGCGAACTTGGAGAGGATCTTCACGGCGTGGATGATGCCGGGAGAGAGTTTCAGAGCCTGTCGGAGTTGTGGCTACTGCAAGGACAACAGCGCGACAAATTCTACAAGGTAAACACAGAGTGGTGGGTCAAGGGCTACGAAGGCCGTGCGTCTCTGGAAGGCGCTATGATAGGTGATGAGGCGAGCGAGGAGGACGTGCAACATTCCTTGGACTTTCTCTGCAAGGCTCTGGAAGGCAAAGCTCAAAAGCCTCGTTCGGCTTTGGACTGTGGTGCTGGTCTTGGGAGGGTCACGAAGGCGGTGCTACTACCCTCGGTGTCAGGCAAGGTTACATTGGTGGACCAGTCTGACAGGTGGTTGCAAACCGCCAGAAAGTACTTGGCAGAAGAAGCAGATCGCTGTCACTTCGTGCATTGCCGTCTGGAGAAGTACACGCCCTGCAGTAGCTTTGATCTGATTTGGATTCAGTGGACCTTGCAATACCTGATCGATGAAGATGTTGTCTGCCTCTTGCGGAATGTGGCAGCTGGGCTTACCGAGGATGGAGTCATCGTGCTGAAGGAAAACAATGTATCTCAAGACTGGATCTCGTTCCACATGGACACTCCAGCAAAAGAGGGCCGCTTTGACATGACGCGCTCTCCGAGGCATCTAAGTATTCTAATTGAGCTCGCCGGACTGGTGGTGGAGCACATGGAACTCTGGGACGAATGCAGCTGTTGGGTGCTCAGCGCCCACCTGCAATACACTGTTTCAGACACTCATCCTCAGACGGCGGACTTAGAGAAGGGGCAAGACTGAGCTCACAGCTCACTTGCTGTTCGAGAGCCTGCAAGATGCCAGGACACAGCTCGAGTCTGTGTTTGCCTGGCAGACCTTCAAGTTCCTCTCACGTCCTCCCTCCTTCGTTGACTACTTCGCAACTCTTGCCGGCGAGGCGGCGAACGTGTTGAGTAGCGGCAGTTGCGTCCTCGGCGACTGAGCACACACAAACAAATGAGGACGAAGCATTGCAGCGGTGTTGCCCGGCTTTCTCAACTGCTTGGCGAGCCAATGCAATTCAGCAGTCAATTTGCGAGCAGATGCGAGCAGAATCTGGCTGTCTGAGTCTGTGGTAGATCTCGAGATGTTTGGATGGCCGTAGAATGCGTGTGGCTTGCAATTGTCTGGATCAGCACCTTCGATGGGTGGGGACATATTGGGTCAATGCGTACTGAGGTTTGGTGTGAGATGTGTGAGGAACCTCAGGACTGCGAAGTCAAAACAGCGCGCAGGTTGGTACTTAAAGTGCTTCAATCTCTGCGCGCACTTCCACTGGCGATCCTGGCGGTCTGAGCAGACTTCTCTGCGCATCTCCTAAGCGCATTCTCGCACAGAAGTTGGCTCGTAGGCATGCGTCCATTCTTACAGGAAGCCCGGCAAAAGGCAAGTGACAGATGCATGGAGCGTGTTAAGTGCTACGGACCACTTTCGACCACAACATGTGCAACAATGCAGTCAGCAACCGAGAGACGTGGTGGCAGACCATCTAGCCATAGCATTTTGCAACATTGTAACATAGACAGTCTGCATTCATTATGCGGCTGCGTTTGCGATGCGGAGCTTCCTACAGGCCTGCTGCACGTGTGCAGACATGCATCTGCATGCATCTGTACATGCTTGCTGAGGCTCGGTGACTTGCAATGGTGACCCGGCAGCACAAAATCAGCATCAACTGATGGACAAGCTCTTCTGCAGCTGCTTAGGTGCATGGTCCACGTTCCTGAGAATGTCTTCACCGTCAGAGATTTTGCAGGGCATGTAGCTCGACTACTAGGCGCGTCGCTGTGGTGTTGCAGAACTCGAATTGATCATGTATTCTTGCAATGCTTTGTCCTGACTTGTTTGCAAGCGAGATGTTGAATCCGGACTAAAGCATTCTGCATCATGTGGTCAGAACTGAACCTTCATGGCGGCAACTCCGACCTTCCACAGATCTTGCCGGAAGCTCTGCCTCTGATACTGCGAAATCATTGAACCTTGTGAGAAGATAATAGCAAAGCAATCCACGAGCAACAATGAACATCGGCCTGTCAAGGTTGGATGGCTTTCTGGTGCCCCATGAAGAGGAGGCGGGTGCTTTGCAGTTCAGCTTCTTGGCCTTTGGAGTCTGCCTTTGAGGTGCGAGAAGTTCTCAGGGATGACGAGGTCGGACGTTTAGTCCCTGAGCTTTTGAAGATCTTGCAGAGCATGAGCTCTTTGCTCTGAGGTTCTTGACGTGGAGCCCTTCAATTCTGCCTCTGTTGCAACCCAAGCCTTGTCCATGAGAATGCAATTGTCGTTAGTGAATCAGGATTGCAGAAGACTTGGCAGTTTCATGGCTTACCAACACTTTGTGACGTGATTTTTGTAAACGTTTGCGCCCGTAAGGCAGGGCCCTCCCAGGTCTCTGGTCACAAGAGGGAGGCAGCGTGCTCCTTGTGTTCTGAAGCACGAAGATTCATGGCAGGGGTTTGCTTCTTTTGGCAGAGATCGCGATTTGTTTGGTGCATGTGGCTTGATGAGGTGGAAGTTTCTGGCCAGCTCGGAGCGGGGAACAAAAGGCAGCCGCACATCTTTGTCCGCAAATATTGGTGTCACTTGTTGGATGCTACATGAGCTGAGTGAGAATGAGTAAGAAGATGTAAATCACGAGCAGGGCAAAAGTCACCAGCAAGCCAGCCACGGTCTCAGAGCTCGCAATCTTTTGCAAACTATGGAATGTGAGCATGTCTGAGGTCATGGCGCTAGGCCAGGTTGCCCAGCTGCCCAGCTGCAAGAATCCAAGCTGCCCGCAAGGATGGCAGCCGGACCCCGAGAAGAAGAGCGAGGCTTTGGACTGAGATAGGGATATCACAGTGATAATGGAAAAGAAGATGGGTTATTACGTGCTGTTATGTTATGAGTTACCGTGGGCTTTGGACACGGCTGTTGTCTGAAACGATGTTTAGCCAGGCCACAACAAAGCCTGGCCAACAAGACTCTGCTCAGGCTTGAAGTGTGATTTCGAGCTTTGTTCTGCTGTTGGACCTTGAGCAAATCTGTCCCGACGAACGTGACTTGAACACACTGCATCAAAATATTGGCAGGTGGGCCGTGGTCAAAAGGAGGCTTCCTGCTCAGAACTTGAGTTTGTTTGAACGACGGCAGTTCTCAGAAATTGCTGCAAAAGAGATGATTCCACGATCAGATACTGGAGCCAAGGGCTCCAGGCTTTGGCTTTTGCAGAATGTCTTGCGGCGCGCGTTCCTGCGGTGGGTGGGTCGATTGCCGGGCAGAGAGGGCTCTTCTAGGATGCTGGAAGGCATCTTTGCGGACGGGCGGCTTTTTTGCAGGCACCCGATCCGCTTGTCACTTTGGGCTTTCTTTCGGGCCTCGAACGCTTCTTGATCCTCAACAGATGTCTGGGAAGTCATTTGGAATGGAGACTCCCGCTGCCTCAAGGCCCGGGGCTTCCACACAACTGGTACAGAGCAGCTGGCCTCAATGAAGCGTATCGGCTTCTTCAGATGAGCTTCAACCTCGAATCTAATCAATTCTCCAAAGAGGCTGATTACTCAGCTCCCGGCAGACTTGGCCCGGGACAATCCTTTTCCAGGAACGACGTCATTGCGGAGACTTGTAGATAGGCTTCATACGAAGCGTTCAGAATTTGGCTTCCCGCCATTGCTTAAAGGCTTCGATTTCAAGCCTTCATGCGGCTGCTATCCACCCCAGAACTTTGCATCAACCATTGCTGCCATACTTCGCTCAAAGCGGGTCTTGCACGAGATAGCAGGCTTGAGTACAACGACAGTGCAAAAGCATTTCATTCAGAAAGAAAGACCCTGTTCGAGGTCAATGATGTATTCCGTTGGTCTGTCTCTGTTACGCGCGTCGCTTGGGTGCCAGACGCCCCAGGCAGACTCAGAGCAAAGCCATGTCTCCTAATGAAATGAAGCAACACGAGTCCTGCTGTTCTCCCAATGGAGTGCCATGTGAAACGGACCACGAAATTCTTCACAAGAAAAAACCCGTAGTTTGGGCTAAAAGCAATTCAAAGAAACGGCAAAGCTGCAAGTCCTGATGTTCGATGAATATGGACCGCCAGGGACTCTTCGGCAAAAGGAAGGGAGCAGTAGCGCAAGCATGCTTCGCAGATGAAGCAAGACAAACGATCACAACAACTTAACAAAGAAGAAGCTGACAGTTGCAAAGCAGAAGCTTTATTCACAAGTATGAAGCGCACTAGGGTGCGTTGGCAGGGCCTGAGAGTTCAATGTCAAGCACTCCTTAGACGGATTTCTGAATTTGCAAAGTGCTCACAGGCTGCATGCTGAACATGTTATAATGCTGATCATGCAACTGCAGCTGTTGCGTAGGAGTCGTGCAACGTTCGGACTGCAGATAAGAAGAACATTTGGCAGAGCTGCAATCATGAATTGCAATTTAAGTACTGTTGTTTGGCCAGGCTGTCGAAGCTGTCCTCCCCTCAGATTTCCACTCGCCCTTGGCTATTTTCGGTCAATGTCAAGAAGTGTCTGGTATCATTGGGATGTTTTAGGCAAAGGCTTTGGCCTTGGCGACGTGCGCAGAGAGTCATCCATCGCGAGTTTGGGGTGTTAGAGCCGGTCTTGCAGGGGTTCAAGCCCAAGCCATTCACACTTTCAGGCCTGTGAGTCCAGTGCCAGGTGCACCCTCGAATGGCAAGGCGCGCGCTCAACACCAGCTGAAAGATTTTACGGCAGAAGCGAGCTGAAGGTAGCATCAGGCATCAGCCACGGCATGTTTGCTTGCAGGATGAAGGCCGTGGAATTTTTGTCGGTGGCCTTCCAGCTTCGTCGTGTGCTCAGTGATTCAAGCACGACATCTCAGAATGGCCGGGTGGATGGACGCCGAGTTCGCACAGCCTCCCCAAGTTGCACGCAGAAAAAAAAGCCTTTCAGAGGGCTGCGGACCCCAAGAGTTTGGCAGGTGTGCACTCTGAAGACATAAGTTTTCTGGGAGTCCCATGCAGAAGATCAACCCAAGATCATCCTGAAATCAGTCTGAGCTTGCACTAGAAATTCAAGAAAGCAAAGCAAATCTGGCTGATGGTGCAGCAAGATCCTAGGCCAGAACTCAACAGGATGACGCATGCCAGGTCCGAGCATGCCCTCCCAAAGCATTCTTGCTCTGTTGGCAAGTTGTCTTCGGAATCAAAGCAGTACCCCTTGGTCCCAAATGATTGGCAGCCTGGTTTGGTTTCTAGTTTCTGCTCCACAAAGCAAAGCAAGACACGCTCAATAGTTAACATTGAACTCTTGCACAGAAACAGCACAATCCAAACTCAGGGTGGATGACAGAGAGCTGCGCAAACATTTCGAGCAGTTTGGTTGCGTCCAGGAGCCCAGTGGTGCAGTCCATGTGCAGTGCCTCTCATGCTTCTTCGAAATTGTTTCATTTTGCTTTGCAGATTCGTGGAGCTGCTGTATTTGCCCGTCAGGATGCCACTGTTATCATGAACCAGAAAACTGGGCAGCCCAAGGCAGTAGGATGCAGAGTTGTTTTAGCTAGATATCATGTTGTACCAAGTCTTACGTGCAGGGCTTCGGCTTCGTGGAGTTTCGAGAGCCAGGTGCCCGAGAGAAGGTGCCGGACGCAGATCAGAGCTCCATTTTCGTATCTGGACTGCCGAAGCAGGCCTCGTAATGGGGGTTATATAGGGGTTATATACGGATAATGGAAAAGAAAATGGGAACTACTATTTTGAATTAAAGCATTGTCAAGCTCCGGCCACCTTACACGCATTGCGAAATGTGAAATTATGATAGCCATGACCAACCAGATTGTCAGTGCAAGCAGCAGCTCGGGAACGTTGTGCCACTGGGATCTACAGCTAGCATCCAGTGACGGCGTGAGATGATAGCAGGACCAGTACTCTCAACTGAAGAGGTTTTCAACAATACATGCCAACAGTTCCTCGAGCAAAGTTGCGAACGTTTACTGCTTTGATTGGACTGACGAACATTGGCAGAGAACTTTTGCCCTGAGCTGCGAAATGGGGCTCTGACGAGGCTCCCCAAAAAATCTGAGGTGCTCAGTGCAGGTTCAACACAACAGATCCATGGCAAATCCGTGGAGGTGCGCGGGACACACGGGGCAGTTCCGAAGTGTGCTTTTTCAGCTTCTCCGCTCCAGGTAAAGCTGAGACAAGTAAGAGGAGCCAAAGGTGCAGCTAAAGGGACCCCGGGACCTGCACTTAGCTGTGTTCAGCAAACTTAGCATGATCAACAGATGCTCTGGATGCAGAATGAATGAAGAGGGTGAGCTCTGGATCAAGCTTGGCTTTGTGCCGGGCAGTGCGGAGAATGGTGGGAACCTTCACCATAACACATGACCTCCGAAATCATCTTAACTCCGTAGATATGCGCCTGACACTGTTCGTGCTAGTCATGCGGCAGAGCATATTGTGCCTGGCTGGATCTTTGTGAGCGGTGCTGGCATGCCAACCGCACCAGCCGCAAGCAGTTGGAGGCCAGGCTTCTCGTGCTGAAGACGTCAATAGCGGTACTGGATGGTACTGGCACTGGTCAGAATATGCCAGCGACAGGTCGTCCCCTTGCTACAGACAGCATCCTAGAACTGGCTTTCCTTGATGTTTCCCTGCTGTGATGGTATACACTTAGCGCTTTAAATCCCAAGGCAGCAGAAGTCAGACTACTATCAGCTGTGCTCGGCGTTCTGGCTGGAGACATGGCTGGCAGTTGGTGACAGCTGATATCCTAAGTTCTAAGCAGATAGCTTCACTTAAATTTGCCATCAACAAAGTGATCCGTAGTCACATGGCTTTGGCTTCCCAGGAAGCGGGGTCGCCTCACTTGGTCTGCGCAGAGATCTAGGCTGGCAAAGGCAGGACGAGCGTGAGCAGCATGGTTGTGCGCAAGTAAGGTTCCTGCCACTTGCTCCGCCAGCAAGCCTTCAGCTACGGGGCAGCTGCAGTGAGCACCCAAGATGGGTCTCAAGCTCAAAATCACAACAGCATTTTCAAAGAGGGGGGTTGGGGAGGATAGTTCGCGCTGCTCACGCAAGGCTCTGGAAGCTTTGAAGACGAAGGGGTGATGCCGGCAAATTTTCGCAAAGCATGCTCGATTCTCCTCTTTCGACATTCTTCCAAGTAAGTCTAGCGAGACACATGCGATTGTTTTTTAACAATTCAGCCTTCCAAAGCCAAGCTTGGCCATGCTGAAGCACAATGTTGGACCCTCTTTAATATGGGGG